CGAAGTTACCCCTGCGTTTTTGAACTCCTTCCAGACAAACATGCTCATCCCGCTTGTCCTGCTCTCGCGGTAGCAAGGGCTCAAACAAACTCTGCACACCATCTCCTGTGCCGCATAAAAAAGCGATAAATTTGTGCTAGTGAGACCCATACATATTCAGCTAAAAAATGATTTTTAGAGGAAAAAACTTGTATCCTTCCGACGAGAAAGATTTTGAGATAATGATGAGATATCATTGGCGTCGCCACTAATGACCAAAAAAAAGAAAACAAATAAATTTGCGATGTGGGGATCCATCAAAAAGACCATATTATCTTGATTTCATATACAAAAAGGAATAAACATCATACTGATTCATACGGGTTTTCAGCAGAAAAAGAAAAAAGAAACTAAAATAAAACATGCTGTTGCTGGATACTTACTTTCATTAATCATTCCTTTTTAAAATAGATAAAAGTATCAGCAAAAATAAAAAAAATAAAACAAGGCCACTCCCTAGTGATAGATTTCAGCAATAATATGTACTATTTACATAAAAAAATTCAGAAACGACAAGCTACTGATTATATAGGGACTATCAAAACAAATGAACATACCTACTCCTACTGATAAATTCAGTAAATCAGTAGTAAAAATCTTCTCCTGTTTTGATAGAAAAAAATTCAAAAACATGCTACTGATTTAGCAAAAAGAGCCTAACGCATTCATCTAGATTGTCACCCCCACTGATGTACAAAAAGGGTGTAAACAAATGAACTATACTATACACTATGTACAGAGGATGTCGATAAAACCTACTACCTACAAGCATAAAGAAGAAAAGGCGGTCTTGATAACCCTACTTCTAGTACAGTCCAAAAGAAATAGAAAACTTCATCTCAGTTTATTGGGCTACTAAAAAACAAAATTAGTACTACTAGTTGTAAAACTAAACTTTACTGGATAGTTCAAAAAACATAGGGGAAAAAGCAAAAAATCTGGATTAGATAAGTGAATCTAGCTATAACAAAAAAGAAACCAACATCATACTCACATCTGCCACACCGACATTGCTGATCCACGCGCCTGAGCGAGAGACATTATTGTGCATTTCAACACGAAAAAAAAACCCTAAAAAAGTATAAAATATGGACGCAATTCTCTGCTTGAAACTACTAATCAGATATTTAATACAAACAAAAGAAAAGAACAGTACCTCATCTTGCGGGGGTAAGTATAGACATACAAAAATCCTATCTACTCTACTAGATACATGGGTACAGTAATAAAACTCCTACAGTGCAGCAGACATGCACTTAGCTTGGGCAAGGACCTCATGTTGCTGACTCACAACAAGCCCCTGGACTAAAATCCATTTTCAGACTAAGAAGCTAACAAAAAAAGTGAAATCAAAAAGACTAAAAAGTGAGGTCCCTTTGAGACATTACAAAAAAGGCCTAGCAGCCGCTCACTCTGGCCAGCCCCTTTGAGACACTACAAAAAATACAACTTGATCTTGACCGTACAAACTACCACATCCAAATCAATCCTCCAATCTTTTGAATGCTTGAACAAATAAGGATACAAAAAAAATGCATATAAATCATGGAGTCCATTATAGACTTGAATCTACTATTCTACACTTGATCCACAAACAAAACTACCCCCAATCCCCTACAGATCTACGGTGAAGCATCAAACAAGAAACAAGACAACAAAATGATGGAGAAGAAAAACTAGGGGGAAACTCACTCCAACTGCAGCGCCAGCCATCCCCTCTCTCTCGTCCTCTGGTTCGTTGAAGAGAACCTTGGAGCTCGCCCTCTCGAAGGGCCATAGGCCGATCTTTTATTAGAAAGAACAGGAAGAGTACAACGAGCTAGGCAGTCTAGGCGATCTAGAACTGTCAGCCGTCAGAGTTTAACTCTGAATAAACACTGAAGAAATAAAGGCGAAGCTTGGCCACCAGAGGCAAGCACAACACAGCAAAGAAGAAGAAAAACAAGTCAGCAGAAATCGCCAACACAGCCAGCAGTCCTCCATGTTGCAATATCCTCTCTGATTAGTTCGAGCACCCTGTCCACGCTGCTAGCCACTTGCTCAAAGATCCGAGCATTCCGTTCTTTCCAAATCCTCTTTTCTCCCTATCCGGATTTCTTCTGATTTGAGATTGGGGAATGGAGAGAGACGATGTGGAATGAGCTCTGTCTCCCCGTTCCCCTCTTCTTAATCACCACGGGGTGGCCGCTTCCCCTTCCTTTCTTTAATGCGGCTCAAAAAACAAAACGCAAAAAACAAACAAACAAAAAGCCCGCACGGAAACACAGCCCAGCCCACAAAACGCTCGTGCGGGATCGCGGTTCGACAGAAAAAAAAACAAACGGGCCGGTCCACACCTTAGACAGGCCGAAATGAGGGACAATCCGCCCCAGCGCGAATCTACACGCTGCATAAGATCGGACAGCTGAGCAGTCGACTGAGACTCTCAATCGACTGATATTTAGTAGCGCCGTCCATATTACCTTGATCTGCATGTACGCGAACGCCTCACCAACGCAGGCGTGCCGCCCGCCACCGAACGCCGTGTACGAGAACGCTCCGCCGGCCACATCCTCCCCTCTGCCCGGGCCGAACCGGTCCGGCTCGTACCTCTCCGGGTCCATGTACACGTATAAGAGACGGTTGTGGAGCACCAGCGGGCTCGCGACGGTACGCCCCTCCGGGACCTCGTACTCATCGTCCTCCCTGGTCCGCACGGTGAAGCTCCGGCGCGCGTGGCGCAGCAGCAGCATCGCCGGCGGGTGGAGCCGCAGAACCTCCTTGACGCAGCGGTGGAGGGTGTCCATCTCCTGCAGGACCTCGTAGTCCACGCGGTCCCCGTGCCGCGCCACGACCCGCTCCTGCTCCCGGACGGCGGCGCGCAGGTGCTCGGAGTTGGCGCGCGCGAGGAGGCGCGCTCCGGTCCACGTGCTCGTGCTGGAGCTCGTGTGCTGCCCCGCGAACAGCGCCGAGACCACCAGCATCCCGACGACCTCCGTCTCGGTCGTGGCGCGGCCGTCTTTGTACCTGGAATCAATCAGGCACTGCAGCATGTCGTCGGGGCCGCAGTCAGGGTAGCTTGCTTTGCGAGAGCTGACGACGCCGGAGAATATCTCGCCGAGCCTAGCGCGCGCCCTGTCGCGTCTGCGGTGCGCCGGGATGGGCAGGTGCGGGAACAGGATGGTGACGAGGCGCATGCCGTCGTTGAGCTCACGGAGGTGCGTTGCGACCTCGCCGAGCATCTTGGCCCGGACCTCCTCCCCGAACAAGCACCGGCTGGCTACGAGCGTGACGAGGTGCTCTAGCTCCTGCTTCAAGTCAACCGTGCCGGACTGTCCCCACCTCGCAAAGTACTCCTGCATGTGTAACATACACAAGTACACATCAGATCACAATTTCTAGTATGTAGTACATATATAAATGTTTGCAATAGTTAACAAGAAAATCAAGGCTACTAAACATGTCATCTTATTTCTTACCTCGACTTCGCGCACCATCAGTCCGGCGTATGTCCTGAGCTTGGCCGGCTTCATGGCGTCACCAAAGAAGCGGAACTGCTCGGGGCGAGTAGCGAAGTCCACGTCGAAGGCAACGCCGGGGCCGAAAGTCGGAATGGTGAACTGGGAGACCTCGTCTTGGCTAATCTCCAAGTCTAGCCCTTGGTAGAAATGGCTCGACACGTCTGGCCCAACCAGAAAGGTCACCTTGCGATGCAACAGTCTCACCGTGAACACGCTCCCCATCTCCGTGTGGGCGTCGCGGATCACTTGCAGCGGGCCCTTGGCGAGAAGCACCGGGAGAATCCCAAGAAGGGGAGCCTCTGCGGCCATGGGCGGTGGAGAAGGCGATAGCTTCGTTGTTTGGGACAACATCGGTCGTCGTCGGGCCATCATTGTCGACACAATTGCAAGGAAAATAGGAACACATGCTACCCAGAGGACTGTTGCTAATTCCATGTTTACAATCCAGATGCTATCGGAACCAATACTGTAAGAACACCGGCAAAGAAAAAATCCATAAGAATCAGCTATGCCAAATAGTGGCATCCTTCTCAAACAGCTAGTATAACGCGGGTATAGCGGGGCTATAACCCTCTGTTTTGTAATTTTAACAAATAATTATATATAAATATCATTTAGCATCACCCCGCTCAAGTCTCTATAGCATGGCTACATCACGGTTATTTAAAACTTTTGGTAAAAACATGGTAAGATGATTCAGTACCTGTCCCATCACTAATTAAGTTGGTTTTGAAACATCCATACGGCACTGTTTGCTGCCATGCTAAAATGAATATCCATATCGCGGACATAAAAGGTTTCCATTATATTATAGAGATGCAAGTTTTTAGCGTACTTTCTTAGAGTTTTTCGGGTGATATTCATCCGTTTGTTACTAGCACTCGTGGTCCCATGTTTTCTCTATACCTACCTGGAGTATTGCCAGAAACATTATTCAATTTTCCCAATGGCCTCATGCCTCCATTAATCAATAAAGTAAATTGCCCTAGTGCCCTTTTATGCCTCCAGGAAAAACAATAATAAACTCAAACTGTATCTTACCGACAGCTGAACTAAAACTAACATCAATTTTTGTCAGTTTAAGAGCTACTCACCGCATAATTTTTTTAGCCTCACGTGTTTTTCGTCCCCACAGAACAATAATCCCCTCGTAGCCCAAGTTTAGCACGTTTATCCTCCCCACACCGCAATACATTTCCTTGTCAGTTTCTCGCCTGGCTGTCTCAATCTCATCCTCTAGGACATCTTTTCCATATAAACCACCATGCCCTATTTGAAGGCACTTAATTAAAAATGGTAATGTCACGACAACCATTAATTGTTGAGCTGTTTGATTTTGAGATAGCTAACCGCTTATTCCAAATGGTACAATCACCATTAATTGTTGCATGATAGAGAAACACGATGATGAAAACTTTTTAGCGCATTAATCATCCAGTCCTATTTTTAGAAAGCTACCATGGAAATCGACGCACTCAAACCATCTTTTTTTAAAGAGTGCATCTTAGCGAAAATACAACCCTTTAACAGTCGTGCAAGGAGCGCTCTCTCGCGACGTCCACATCATCACAGGGGTACTGTGCCTGGCAGCCAATCGCGACAGAGATTCACGCTGGCCAGTGGGCGCTTTGTACGGCGAGACAAAAAAAAGAAAAATGAATCGCCCAGCCCTAGCCTAGCGAGTCCTCCACTTCTCCCCCTCTCTCGTCCGCCGCCATCACCGGCGCTCTTCCCCACAGCCTGCGCCCCCCTCCCCTCCCATCACCTTCTCCCCTCCACGGGAAACCTGCACGGAGGCGGCAGCCTGGATGACACGGTGCTCCCGCCGTCTAGATCGAACTTGTGGCGCCCTCGATTCAATCGTACACTAATCATACACGCAGATGTGTACGATCAAGATCAAGAACTCACGGGAAGATATCACAACACAACTCTAGACACAAATTAAAATAATACAAGCTTTATATTACAAGTCAGGGGCCTCGAGGGCTCGAATACATAAGCTCGAATACACAAGAGTCAGCGGAAGCAACATTATCTGAGTACAGACATGAGTTAAACAAGTTTTCCTTAAAAAGGCTAGCACAAAGCAACATCGGTCAAAAAGGTAAGGCCTCCTGCCTGGGAGCCTCCTAACTACTCCAAGTCGTCAGCGGTCATCACGTAGTAGTAGGCACCCTCGGGGTAGCAGTAGTCATCAGTGGTGTCGTCTGGCTCCTGGGATCCGTCATCTGGTTGCAACAATCGGGCATGGGGGAAAAGAGGTAGCAAAGCAGCCGTGAGTACTCATCCAAAGTACTCGCAAGACTTACATCAGATCTAAACTAAGTATGCATCTGAATCAAAGGAATGGGTTGTATCTGTGGACTAAACTGCAAAATGCCAAAAGGGAAGGGGAAAGCCTAGCCTATCGAAGACTAGCATCTTCTGGAAACCACCATCTTGCAGCAACAGGAGGGAGTAGAGTAGCATAAAGTAAAGTAGCAGTAATGTTATCAACCTCGGCCAGAGATCCTTCCTCGACTCCCTGCGAGAAAGCAATCCCAGAGCCATACTATCTAGTTATCATCTCATATCCAAGTCTCATCTCCATGTCTCATCTCAAGTATCCAGTTCTAGTTGTATCGATCGGGATACAACTCCAAGTGTCCGTTACCGTAGGACATGCTATCGATAGATGTTTTCTTCCCTGCAGGGGTGCACCAACTTACCCACCACGCTCGATTAACTTCGGCCGGACACACTTTCCTGGGTCATGCCCGGCCTCGCCCAAACAATATGCCGCAACCCGACCTAGGCTTAATAGAGAGGCCAGCACGCCGGACTAAACCTATGCCCCCAGGGGTCATGGGCCATCTCACCGGGAACTCCTGCACGTTGCGTACGCGGCCGGTGAGCAGATCTAGCTACCTCCTTCAACAAGGTAGGTGCTTTCCAGTCCAACCCGGCGCGCGCCGCTCAGTCGCTGACGTCTAATAAGTTTCGGCTGATGCATACGACGCAGAACGCCCATACTATGCCCACGTGATGGTTAGTGCTATCAGACCAGAGGCCCTTCAGATCAAATATCCAAATCATAGTGGATTAGGAGCACGCGGTAACGAGCAGAGACTCACGACCGATGTGACCCCGTCGCCCCGTCTCGAGTACTTGCGGCAAGGGCTAAGAATGCCCGGCCACGCCTCGTAAGTATCTCGCGGGCACCTTCCAGGTCAACCCTACTCCACATCACTCGCTATTCAGCTCGCGCGGGTACCCCTCAGGGCCGACCCGTCTTTAGTAACATGGCTCAGTGCAAAGTCATAGTAACCATAGTAACTGTGTGTCTAACACCAAGGGGAAAACCCGAGGAATCACCCCCGGTGAATCCCACTCGATGTTATCATCAAGGTGAACGTAAGAGGATCCACCCTCGAGGTTCACACTTGAGGGGTTGCACGACAGAGCGGTAACGGAAGTGGTTAAGGAGGAAATCACCCTCGATGACCTCGACCGTATAGCTACACTACGGAGATCTCATCAGGAGTGATGTAAGAGGTTCCACCCTCGGCACTCGATGGTAACTCTGCAGAGTCGTACAACTAGGGGGGGTGATGTGCGGTGTCGGGGCCTGGACGTCGATCACGTTGATCGAGTCATCGAACATAAAGCGGGGCAATTGGGACAAGGTGGGGTCACTGATGGATCACTAACCATCCTATACTAAGCAGTTTAGAATAAGCAGGTAAGGTATGAAAGCAGGTAACAACAACAGGCTATGCATCAGAGTAGGATCATACAGAAAGCAGTAGCAGTTCTAATGCAAGCATGAGAGGAAAAGAAATGGGCGATATCGGAATGCTCAAGGGGGTTTGCTTGCCTGGAAGCTCTGCTGAAAAAGAAGTATCGTCGTCGACGTAGTCGAACACAGGGGCAACATCAGTCTCGGAGTCTACTGGAGAGAAGAGGGGGAAGAAACAGTAAATTCTAAGCAAACATATGCATGACAAGACAACAAGCGGTACTAGGGGTGTTCTAACGCGGTGCTACACGATACTGGTGAAGGGGGATAACATCCGGGAAAGTTTTCCTGAAGTTAGGCATTTTCGGACAAAGGAATGGGAGGAAGAAGGTTGCGTGTTTGCTATGCTAGGTGCGTGTGGCGGACGAAGGGCCGCGTATTCGGATTCGTCTCGTCGTTCTGAGCAACTTTCATGTATAAAACTTTTTCATCCGAGCTACGGATTATTTTAGTATTATTTTTCAATGATTTACTAATATTCTAGAATTTCTGAAATTATTATATTTAATTAATTCGAATTGACCAAGTCAACTTGACTAGTCAAAAGGGCAGGGGGTGGCCCACATGCCATATACTATTCACCTAAACAAATAAATAAACCTAACTTATTAAAGGGGGCCTACATGTCATCTACTAATAGACTAACTTAGAACTAAACTACTACTACTACTAAGCCTAGCCTAATTAAACCAGGGGCCGGCCGGCGGCATAGCCAGCCATGTCTGTACTCACGCACGTAGAGTACACACTACACACGCACAATGGCCATGGCCATGGCCATAACCAGCGCAGCCGCATGAGAAAGTAGCAGCAGCAATTAGAGTAGCAGCAGCACTAGCTAGTGGGATAGGAGGAGCGGCAGCAGCACTTAACAGCAGCGGCGCCGGCGCAACAGCAAGCAGTGACGGGAGCAGGGCGCAGCAGCGGCCGGCAGCAGCAAACGGAGCAGCAGCAAGCCGAGGCCATGCGTGGGCGTGCACCACAGCAGCAAGCCGCGACGAGGCCACGCATGGGCGTGCGCGCACAACAGCAATAGCGACAGGGCAGGAGCAGCAACTACACGCACACACGTACACATACACGGGGGTTCGAGCGATGGCGAACAACGGCGTAAAGAGACACGGATTGAAGGGGGAAAGGGGTGGAATCGGCCGAGGAGCTCACCACCAAGCTCGTAGACGTGGATTGGAGGCGCGGGGGCGACCGGATGCGACGAGCTCGACGACGAGAGACGACGGCCGTGGCAGAAAATCAGCTCGATCCCGAGCGTATAGTGCGGCTCCGGTCGAACGGATGCACGGAGATGACGGAGTCGGTGACTAGGAAGTCCCTGGACAAGCTCCCGGCCGCCGGGGAGGCCAGTGGCCACGGGGACGGCGACGGCGCATCGATGGTAGCTCGGGCACGAGGCTCTCAGGAGAAACGTGAGTGGGAGAGGGGAATTTTGCGGGCTAGGGTCTGTCTACAGCGACGAGGGGGATCTTATCCTTCTCGATGTGTCGTGGATGCTCGACACGAGCTAATCGGGCGTGTGGACGGGCGTGCGTGAGCCACGCCATGGCACTGCCTCCTCCTGTAGCGTGAGGAATGAGAAGGCCCTGCCGGGCTGGGCCAAAGTGCAATGTGGCACTTAGGCCCAGTTGCGCACAGTGTG